ACACACGCGACAGCTGTATAACCGATTGTCGTGGAAAGAGGCGAGCGTGTTGGCTCAGCTTCGCACCGGCATGGCAAGACTCAATGGATATCTTTTTCGAATCAATGCGGCCGAGACAGATCAATGTGCATGTGCACAAGCAAGAGAGACGGTGGACCACTTTCTCTTTCGATGTCGGAAGTGGACCGCGCACCGGACGGAAATGTTGCAATGTACCCACACTCACCGGAGTAATATCTCCTTCTTCCTGGGTGGAAAATCGCCCTCCGATGACCAGAAGTGGACGCCCAACTTGGATGCAGTGCGAGCCTCAGTCCGGTTTGCCATCGCTACGGGCCGACTTGAGGCCACCTAACCCTGCCGACGAACGGACAACTACCCCCTCTTACTATCCCCAGCCCCTTGTGACAGACGGTAGACGCGCTTCAACTGCCGAAGATAGGATGTTGAACACTTGAAGAAGCGCCTTCAAGCCAGTCTACTAACCAATACTAACCCACGGGGACCTGCTATGAGATTTGAAATTGAAATGGCAAATACGGAAGGAAATACTGTATGGGCTCCAAGGAGACACGGCTTATTCCCAAACATACATGTACTGGTAGATTAGTGATAGTTGCCCTTTCGGTTCAGCCGCCGGGCGTTAATGAATTGTGTGTGTGTGTGTGTGTGTGTGTGTGTGTGTGTGTGTACTGTAACATACTATATTCTTTGGTTTTTAAAGCTTCCATAAACTGCTAAATGAGTAAATTACTATATATTATCTTAATTGTTATTTTCATTAGGTCAAAATCACTTGAGGATGGGCCGCGTATAACCTAAGAGCTAGAGGGCCGGCGGGGCTTGTTTCAGAGGTGATCTCTCTGTCGCCCGGGACTGCAGTATTTTGCCACTTCATTCCCCTTTTGCGAGCTGAAAGATAGAGCGTTCCGTAGTGTGGCGCGTCTCAGGTGGTTACACGTCATATTGGCATGGCAACATGCAGAGCGGGACCGACCCAAACGTGTTCGGATGTGATTAGCCAGGTTTGCGACAAATCGGCATATTAACGAGCTGTGAACGATGACGCGGACGCATTCCCGACCATTGCACCTAGGGTTATTGTAGACAGATTAAGCCCGTATCAAATAGGAGGAAGAGGAAAATATAGATACGGAAAATGCATAGTGATACTGAAAGAGTAAATGAACGCTACCGATGAGCTGTCACCAAGCATTAGTGCGAGCCAAAGGCGCAGACGCACAGACATGGCATGCGGTTGGACAGGACTAATACACCGATATTTGCGCGAAACTCAGCGTATGCATCGATCGCTCATATAATGGAACTCCTGGCTTGTTTTCTCTCCCCATCCCACGTTTCAAAGCCCACGTCTTAGAGGCAATCTTCAATTCCCTCACGACAAATCTTCCGTGGTTCTCGGACCAATTCTAACAGTCTCTCGAGATTCAATCATGGATGATCGGTAGATTCCCCAGAGAATGAGTTTCACCTCTTTAGGCTAAACAGAAAAACCCAGATCTTTGCCTCCTCCTGGGCATCCGATGTATGACATTCTTCAGCTATGCGGAAGATTACCATCGACACCAACAAAAATCGAAAAAGCAAAGCAGAGATTGCATCTGTTGAATGAGGATGAAGAAGCCACGCTAATACGTCAAGACCAAGGGCTTCAATTGACACCTCTTGAAGAGCTAGACTTTCAGGTGAAGAAATCTTTTGACCAGGGACCTCACTATGCATCTATCAAGTTTCATGCCCTCCAGAGCGCTGCACTAGACCAATCCACAATGGTAGATATCAACAGTGCACGGGGCCTGCCACCTTTCTTTATCAAGGCTATCCCTTGGAGCTCTTGCAAGCTTGCTTGCACCCTTGTTCTTTTGTTCGCCTGTTCATGCGAGCCAGCAACTATATTGAATGCTCTCAAATTTCAGAGTCGGTCTTTGGGTGGACTTCCAACTATGGCAGATATAGCCAACACTCCGTCATCTGACCTTTCAAAAACGTTTGCGAGAGCAAAAAAGGCAGCGATTGACGGAAAAGTTGGGAAAACGACAGTTCTTGGTGTCAGCTTAGTTGATATTGAGATGATCGAAAGAGGAGAAAATAAATCCTCCGATATGGTCTATTCGTCGTTTGCGCATGCTTTCGTCCTAGCAATTGGCCGAGAAGGCTTGCGTGTATATCAAGCATGGGGAGAGCATGGCTACCGTCTAGATCAATACCTCATGGGGGGTGGATCTAGACTTCGTTCTTGGAAGGACGCTAAGAAATTCTTGAAACTATTTACAAAGCTCGCATCTTCTAAGGTATGTAACTTGTAGATTCCCGATCGGGCGTTGAGATTCTAACGCGTGTTAAAGGGCCAATGGTCAAAAGATCTCAATGATGCCTACGAATATTGTTTCGGGATAAGCATAGATGCCACCTGTGGTACAGGAAAACCACAGGCACCCATTGTTCCAACGTATCGACCTTGGGTCAGGGTTTTTGAGATCGAAGACGTCCAGGCATCTAATCTCACAAAGTGGACTTGGATTGGAGAGGATTTGGGATAAAAAGTCTTGCGGGCATTCGTGTGATGTGAAAATATTGTGCATATAAATCAAAAATAAAGGCTCCGAGCTTTGAGATATCTCGATCCCATGCCCTAGTCTACCATCAAGCTGATCACCAAAGAAAACAAAAGGATGAGGGACAAAATTAAAAAATGCCCTTCAAGTGATCAACGAGGAAGATTGCATGAGGGTATGGCCAAGACTTCGACTGAGCCTTAATCATTGGGTGAAAGTTAAATTCAAAAACGCTGCAAACCTGAGTGTCCTAGATGACAGTGCTAAGCTTCAATCAAGTGGGACCACTACTACCTATTCAAAAGATCCCGTTGCAGGAAGCAACGACCAGCGTTAGGTAATTCTTCAAGCCTGGACAATGAAAATGCTCCATGATTACATTTTTCGTCAATATTTCCCTGGGCACAGTCAATGTGAACATGAGCTTCTTTTCGGCAAAGATCAATTGATATTTGAGCAGAGTGCGTGCGTTTACCCATCAGCAAGACATATTAGTCAAAAATTTCCCACTTTTACTAACAAATGGGCTCATTGGGGTATCTGGAACTGCGATAAAGAGCGAACAAAGACTGCCGCTGGTGGGTACACCCAAAGGATAATTGTCGCACCTAACTATAGGCGGTGCAGACTATTAGCAGTCTGACGACTCAACTGCGACACAACATTCAAGTTGTTGAAGCCCAAGATCTATCTGCAGATAGTATGTATTGGGTCTTGCTTGGTCACCCATGGGGCAGCCCGAACGGGATCGGGACCTTGTGATAACCTCTAGGTCGCGCAACGTCCCGTAGCGACCTTCAGCAACCCTCAAAAATAATGCAATCGAAGATATCGATAGAATGTCAAGTGAAACCTAGAGCGATCTATCAATCAGAATCGAAACCCGCCTACTATACCTCTCCCATGGGTGTAAGCGGAATACCACAGGGAAAACTGAATGTCGACCAACAGCCACATAACCCTTTTTGACTAAAAGTATATTTTTGTAAGTAGCAATTATATAGCTGAGTTCACTTTGATACCTCGTTCGGGATTAATATGATACACATGGCTAGGAAGTAAGAATCTATCGTATTGTTACGGTACAACCTACGACATGATGCTGTTTAGAATCCATATCGGAACGTGGTGGAGGACCCCTCGTACTCCGCCTGATAGTCTTTTGATTCGTTGCACGAATGTAAACCCCGCATTTGCTGCCCACTGCCTTGTCCCGCACCTGATGCGCTCATTTTTTCCCTATGAGTCTGTACATCTTCAATTGAGCATCACCTGGAAAGCCTTCAACACGTGCTCAAACGATGCCTTTCAAAATCGAAGCAAATTTTTCTTCTACATCGTGTTCATTGTGGTAAGATATTGTAGATCCCGGCTGGTGATGAATTCTGTTGACAAATTTTCCCCATCTAGGGAGGGGCCGTCTCCTTGATCCTTGGAGCGTGAGTCATCTTGTTCTCGATCTCATCTCTAGGTAGTCTTATTCAAAGGCTAGCGTGTATTGAAGAAAAAAATTCACTAAAATCCCTCTCTTTAAGCAGGATGTCTTGGGCTCGCAGTGCCGCACTGATTCTGCCTTTCCCGACATGGGTTCCAGTCATCGCTACACTCATATCCCCCATCATCAAGTCTACCAAAAACCGTCCAAAGATACCACAACATTTATGACAGCGCCCTCGATGAAGCGTCGTGTTTTTCCGGTTGCTCCCTTCCCACTCGCCCGGATACTTCGAACGGCTCAGCAACGCGATGGGCTACTCTGGTTGCTAGCTAATCCCGATAACTCGGGATCTAGCGGAGCGGGCGAAGAGCTGGGAATATGTGAGGACCGCACGGGTGGTGACGTCCCTTCCGCTCCTGTAGACTCGGATGGTGCTGGCGAGCAGGGGCTCTCCATTTCAAGGATATTCCCTTCCCATGGCTCAGGGAGTAGGGAGGACGTGGCATTGTTGAGGGCATTGTAGTCGCGACGCGGAAGACCACGCGTCTTTCGCACAAATGGGTTAGGTGAGGATGTCATTTTGTGTTTGTCCAGTATCAGTGGACTAAGTGGTACCTGGGAGCGAGGCATAGCATACTTTCAGTATCATTCATGAGTTGGAATTGAAAAGTCAGAATGAAACAACGAGGGGGAAAATGCAGCTGTGCTTTCGCCCGATGTAATTTCATCGAAATGGAAAGTTGATAGGTCTATTTTTCACACGCGGCGGTTTCTCACTCGCGATTCTCGCGGTAAACAACTGTAATCTGGATGTTAAGTGACCTGAATTAGCATGATAAACGCTATTTTACGTGACAATAGTCGTGGTCATAATTAAAATCACAGATAATGGAGTTACGAGCTTTATGCTGGCACTGTATGAATGCGTGGAAGCGACACGAAAGATATTAGCATTCAGCTGTTGTCTACCAACGTGTCTCGGTGTTTCACAAATGACCTCCGACTAAGGAAGAGCTATCCTTTACTGGAATTAAATCCTCAAGACTTGGAATATGCGAGATGAATTCTGTTGGGTGTCAATGAAATCCATGCCCACACGAGGAGGATAGCGTACCCATCAGCTTGCTCAGGTGGTAAGTCTCAAGCCTTCTCACCCCTAGACATAAGCCGAGCATCCATTTATCAATCCATTCCATCTCCATTACTTCCAAATCTGTTGTAAGCTTCTCGGTATCGCCTTGGTACAAAATTATGACGAGGGCATTTCTTCGGTCTTTTGAAATTAGCATTCATGCGATTTCATTGGGCCATAGACAACCTTACCGTTGCTGGGTGACAGAACTGGAGTCATGTAGCTCCATGTCCTCAGGGCGCTTCTGCATGCCTCCTCGCTCAATTTCGTAAAGACGTTTATATAGAAAAGCCCCATAAAAGCTACATTGCTTGCTTGAAGGCGAAGAAGTACCTCTGTGACGAGGGTACGATCACTCGTTGGACTCTCTTCAATCCATGACAGCATCATGGACTTGTGGAACAACGTCTGCGGACGCATATCGTGTAGAACCTTTGGACCAGGAATGGGAGGGTGGACCGAATAGAGGTTGCTTTGCATGTGGGTATCGCCATTCAAGCATCCCCTACTCTCGACTGATGACGGGGCATGCTCAGGCGTGGGATATTTGTTCATTTCTCGGATCCTTGTGGAAGGGAACGCATTCTCTGGATGGCCGCTGCCGCCGAAGTGAGCAGTCACTGAGTCACCAATTATGTCTGTCCCAGTCCGCGAAGTTGGGAATTTCGTGTGACAAAGAGCTGTGATTGCGCCATTTGACAGGAGTTTTTCGATGGCATTCGGAACGCATTTTTTGAACTCGGCCGCGATTTGCACTGGTGCTTTACGAATATCAAATGTGGCCATCTTTATCGAAAATGCACTTCGGCTTGTTAATACTGCACCGAGATTGTAAATGTTGCAGACTTACACGCAGTGATCCTCTTCTGCCGCATCAACTGTCAGCGATGTGCTAGTCAGCACATCAAAGACGCATTTTTCTTTAACGATGATTCTTGGGCATCCAATGCTTGGGTTTCGTTTAAGACTTTCGGCCACGCAGGGTTCCCGCAGCCAGTTATGGAGCCCCCCATCAATCACAGACAATTTTCCACCTTTGTCGAACTCCACACAAACGACATAATTATCGTACCTTGTCTTCGTCAGCATAGCTTCAGCGTGTGCTAAACAATCTACTTACTCTCGCTGCCCTTGCAAAGGCCATATTTGCCATTCTACGCAGAAGAGACCCGTCAAGTCGGCCTCCCGCTCGTCAATTCTTGATTCAGCGTCGACAAGGATGACACGATAGAGCGAATTTTCTTTTAAATGAGTTTGACCATTCCTGGGAAGGTCAAGATCGTTCGGTTTGGTTTGGACCTGGAGTCTTGGGGATTGTGAAACGGGCTGGCGAGACATTAATTTTAAAGTTGTGTTGACGCTTGTGCTCTCTGAAAAGGCATCGGCCTGAGATCGACCATTTGGAGCACTTTCTGAACCGACTTCAAGTTGGACATCAGCCTCAACAGTTGGATTGGGCGACGCGCTCGGCAAGGCAGGCCCATTTCGGTGTGACTTGCGAGTGTGGCGTTTCAGTAACTCGTGTCTAGTGAAAGTATCCCCACAGAAGCAAATATATGGCCTTTCTTTGGTGTCTGATGGGAAGTGAGTCAGAAAATGCTAGATTCCGTGATTATCGGCGGTTCCTTACGGGTGAGAATGTGGCGCTTCAAATTTCCGGCTTTCAGAAAGCCCTTGCCGCAGTATTCACAAGTATACGTCCTTGCTCCACAAGCGCCGCTTGACGGGATTGATGTAGACAGCTCTTGGCTTTGTGGGTAAGGAGGCTGCGGGAATATTGATCGTGGAATTGAGTTGCGCCTCGAAGTCCGAAAAACTCTGTTGTCGTCTTGTGAGCTTATTTCTTTATTCTGGAAGGTGTACATGACGCATTTGGTTTACCTCGGTTTATTGTAGCCTCCCTCTTCTGCAAGTCCAGCATTGATGTCGCTCCCTTTGGACGAAGCCCCGTGTCCGGTAGCATTTAGCAAGTTACGGAAAGCTGAGTCCTTCCCTTGTTCCCTTGTAGCTTTGGAAGCATTTGTAGCGGGCTCTTCGGGGGGAGGGAGAGATTCGAAGCTGATTGCATCTCTTCTAGAAGTCAATAAAAAGCCCTGGCCTCTGCTACTCACTCATACGGAAGGTTACCTTGTCGAACTGCCGGTCGATAATAACGAGGCGGATGGAAATAATGTGGATAAGGTAGTGGTGGATTCGCAACTTTTGTAAAATTGGGGAAATGCAGGGTCGGCCAGTTATCTACAGGGTCCGCGAAAATCAGTATCTGATAATTCCAGGGGATTGTGTAAGATCAAGAGAAGTTCTTAATGGAGATTCATACTGGGATATATGAAAGCGGAGTCTTGGTGATGCGTCTCAAGTCGATGCCTAATTTCATTTTGGCTCGATATTTTGCCACCGGGCAGTAGTAGGGAATAGTTAGATGGGGGAGGAAAAGCCATGTTCAAGCGTGTACGAATAAAATAAAAAAGGAATATAAATCATTGAAAAAGGCGGACAGCAGGTTATAAAAGGTTGGAAGGGCCAATGGAGGTGTTTGACAGAAGAAAAAATGAGGAAACGAACGGGGTTACAAATATTTATAAGGTCATGCAGACTACCAATATACAAGCTCCAGCAGATGGCGCATAATTATCGGCCAAAATACAGAGAGACTATTTACAAGTCCAGATGGGGAAAATTGTTATGCGCAGCTGCATGAACTCATCATTGGAATGATGTACATGACCGAGTCCCCAATGGGTCTTGGGCGAGGAAGGAAGGGGATAGATGACTTGGTGGCGTTGCCATCGATTTCTTACCAGTGTTTCGGTTATTACGAACCCGACCCGACACTCCTGGGAACCGAAGTGCGGAGGCTGGTTGATCTTCGCATCAGTGCTAGGCAGGGTTAGTACGTCGGGAGGGATATTGAGCTCCACAGAACTAGGTTTGCAGTCTGATCGTAGCGCGGCCTCTCACTCGCACTTGTCCAGCCTTGCGGCCACTGGGCTTTCGACAATGCTGACAGGAGTATCTGGATTTCACATGGGACAGTTCTATTTGGTCTTTACATGGGCACAACAAATGTGGATGCGGAATAGTCGACGTTAAGCCTCGATGTAAGACTAGATGCTCTTTTCTATCCCTTGGTTGAGCCATCGAAAGTAATTTTTTACAGTCACCTTCATAACAAGTGGCAGAGTGAGAGTCACTGAGCTCTGAACAAAGAAATGGTGGCATGGCTAAGATACGACCACAGATTGTTTGACGCACAGGCGCTGCTCTGGCGAATACTCATTGCCGCAGAACCCGTTATAATTAGCGAAAACCTGTAGGCTTGGCCTTTTGGGCATGTATTCTCTACTTTCCAAGCCAGGGTCGGTCCTTACCCTGTCGTTCAAATGCCGGTGGGACTTCTGATATGTACTATTTTCTTGTACATCAAGAAGCGGCCTGCCTTTCTTACGGTTCTCCCGCTTTCTAGGCCCTCAATATAACAAAATTTATCTCACTTCACAGTATGGAATACGATTATGGATGGACAATTCGTGTCTGTACTAATTTTACTTCATATGCATAAAACAGGGACGAATAGCTCATTGAGGCTTCTATTGAGAATAGTTACACAGGAATCTTCTTTGTCTTGAAACCCTAATTAGTATAGGAAATAAAGGATTCAATTTGCATATACAGTACTAATAATGCAATATCACTCAACGTCCGAAGCAGACAATGAGAAAATAGACAATGGAATGGTGCTGATGGTTTTCAACATTGTAAGTTACATGCGCATTCATTACCATACCCGCCAATGTGAAATCTCGGGAAGCAGTACTCAGTGGAATATAGATGAAGTTCATTTCGGGTGTGGAGTTCATTCGTTGGTGGTACCTCTGGTTATCTTTTACTGGACTAATGAGGTAGGCGAAGTCTCTCAAGGCTTTTTTCTGAAGGTGATCGACACCCCTTGTTTTGTTACTTGGCCTTCCCAAACACCATGTCACAAAAACTGGTGGTGCAGCTAACCTCAACCAATGAACTTGCCTCTTTCCGCTTACCAGATCGCGTCTCGCAGGTTTCTGATTGTTATAACAAAATTTCCATTGCTACGGTGATTTGCTCAAGTCCGTGCTTTTCTAACGGCGCAATACATCAAGCAGACCACACTAACGGTATAAAATACAGGCTGCGCGCTGCTACATTCTTCCGTTGTAGATAGCTCATTGTTCGGTTATATCTCGAATCTAAGTCTTCAACGCAAGAACAAAGAATTTATCTTACAAAATTTCCATATCCCTCGCTCGAAGGCAACGAAGTATTGGCAGCTGGATGATCAGTCGCTGTATTATGCTCAAGGCACGACCAGTACAAGATAGGCTGTTGTCGAGCAAGTTCTTCGGGTTCGGCAATTGAAACTGCTGGTGCCTTGTGTACGGATCCGTACTGTGGATGACTGGCTCTAACACTCGTGGGGTCCTTTGGCGTGCCTGTTCTGGTCGTCGAGAGAGTCTCTTTCTCATGATGTGGCCACCAATGGATTTCTTGAAGATGTACTGTCCTTCCTGATCACAATAGGAATTCGCTTTGGAAAGTCGGCTTTAATTGTGACTCGTGCTTTCTTGTCACATCCAATTCCTACGAGTGTTGTTGCTAATCTTATTGAAAATGCCCTTTATTTCATTGAAATAGCACAGGAAGTCTGGAAAATGCTTACCTACACGCAGTACTGATCAGCAGAGCTGGTGGTTAGATCTAGTAAATGACGTCTATAGTAGTGAATTGGAGTCAAATGGTTATTAACGATCACCCTTGGTAGTCCCAGTATAGGATTACTTTTCAAGCTATCGGCCACGCATGACTTCCATAGCCACGGATGTAACGCTGCCTTGGTCTCAACAACATCCACAACAACTACACATTTTTGACAACCTCGCCGCCACCTTTGCAGTAGCCACTTAATCTACCAATAGAAGTTTCAGAAAGCGAGCATTAGACCTCGCCAAAACCGTGGGTTAGGTTTCGACCCTTGACCCAAAACCAGCCATGAAATTTGAATATGCGTAATATATACCACGCTACATATAGCGTGTGTGTGTGTGTGTGTGTGTGTGTAATTCATTTACGCTGACCCCTCGTCGAAGTTGATTTCCCGACTAGACTAAAATACGAATCCGTACCCAGCCTAGTGGGTTGTGGTTTAGAATCCAACTGTCGAACGATATGCGGCCTACCACTATGATAATAGATACAGGATTGTCTCCACTGAGATTGTACCACTTCTTAGACGAACTTACAGCCTCGCCGTGGCCTATGTTTGTTTCCACCTTCAACCCGTGAACAAGGCCTGGGATACTCCATTACCCCGTGAGATAGTGTCTTACAAAAGAGACGTAATAGGTTTATAGAGTTGCCGGCACTGGGATTCGAACCCGAGAACCCCAGAAGATGTGGGGGACCAACCGCACATCTCCTGTATCAGGACCACTTTTCTGTTGGTTACAGGGTATGAAGCGCTTGCGCTGCTACCGGCAACACGGTTAATGAAGGTGAGGGTGCTGGGTTCCGAACCCACAGTTTCCACAATTGCAGTAAAATGAAAACTTTCCATGATGGCGACGCTAACCACTGCGCCATCCACTGTTACGCCAACCATGCAATGAGGTATAGGGAATGCGGAGGAGGTGCCTACACACCACCGAAAGCTCCTGTTGATACATCACCTCGCTTATCTGCTTGCATACGCACAGAGACATCCCCCTAAAAAAAGGCGGAGCTGGATAGGGCTCCGAAAGGAATATGACTATTCATGAATATTCATGAATTTTTGCGAATATGAATAACATGAATTGCATAATAGGAATATGAATAAGAGTATTGAGATAAGTGATTGTCTGATTGTTTCTAATTGACTTAAGGAGTTTTCTTTAACAGGGGCGGGATGTCTCATATATATCTGTTCCTAATCCCTGCCATCAGGTTCAGCCACCGTGATACCCAACAAAGAGACTTATTCATATTCGCAATATTCATGAATATATGAATAATTCATATTTAATCATATACGAAGAGAGCATACATTACCGTTCATGTCGTTACATCGCAATACAACAACCATAATTCATGGGCTTAGACTCCATTACATACAATCTACCACCCTTGAGATATTAAGTCCCCTTGAATCTGAATATTGTCACAATCACTAGCCTAGAAAAATATTTTGATGCTGTCCTTCAATATCATAAGCCATCGCATAGTCTCCGTATTCAGACAGTGTCTCATGAGCCCCAATACATCTCTGGCTTTGCTGAACTCGCTTTCAATCCCTACCTCAGCTGATGAAACTGGCAGGCAACCCTGAGCTGCCTTTGCCGTGAGTGGAAATCTGAATACATTCGCCTTCCACCACTTGAGATCCCATTCTTCGCTTGCATCGTCAATCATGCGGTGGGACCAACTCACTGGTGGCGCGTCTATATATCTATCAATATCTGAAAGAAGCGTCCGCTGTGATGGCTGTAGGGGCTTTCCACTTCACGGATATTTCCTTCCCATGGCTCAAGGAGAAGGGAGAGCATGCATTATTCAGAGCATTGCAGTCGCGACGTGGAAAACCACGCGTCTTTCGCACGAATGGGTTGGGTTATGATGCCATTCTGTATTTGTCCAGTGTCAATAGTCCAAGCGGTACCTGGGAGCGAGGCATGGCACACCTTCAGTATCACTCGTTAATACTTGATAGCCTTGCGGATTGGAAATGAAACGTGAGATTTAGACAGTAATGGGGAAATCTCAACTGTGCTTTCGCCTAATGCAATCCCATCAAAATGGAAAGTTGATAGGTTTTTTCTTTACACGCGACGGTTTCTCACACGCGATTCTTATGGTAAACAATCAGTGATCTGGGTGATTAGTGACTTAAAGTGGCATGATAAACGCGTTTTTACGTGTCAATAGTCAAAGTTATATCATATCTTGATTTTGAAGTAGAACGGGCGGTTATAAGTAAAGTAATGGTAGTCGATTTAATTGGGGTAGTAAAAGATATAGGAAGACGTTTTGTAGATATATATAATTTCGCTCGACTTTCTGTAGTAACCTTTCTGGTTACCAAAAATAGACACTGACCAATAAGAATTGGCTGAAAGTGACCACACAAGCTACGTAGCCCTTACCGAGCCCTGCAATATAGGGTATACAGTTCTAGAACATGGTTTGCATGGGAGAAATTTGCTACCTCTGCTTGGCCGAGGCCGTGATGGCACTTGAAATTTTAAGTTGACTGGTGGAAACTGGTGGAAACGTGTATTTCGGTAATACAAAAACAGGGAAAACGGAAGAACCATTAATGCGCGCAAAATGCATCATATGAATAATATGAATGCGAATATGAATATGCCCTATATTCGCATTCATTTATTCCTTTCGGAGCCCTAGAGCTGGATCTTCTTAGGAAGACCAGCGATTAGTCTGAATATCATCACACTCACATCAGGCAAATCTCACATTCTTCACTCGTATCTATATCGTACCAGGACGCCATCAGGGGATCATCCCAACATCCACCCCAGCTAGTTACAGTGAGACAGACCACCTCCAAAGTATTAACACCACTCAGACCCACTATGATACCGCCTACCATTTGTAGCTACACCGCCTAGCTATAGGTCGCGTATATTCGCTTTTTTTTATCTGCCTAAACCTCTAGTCCTAGCACTTATGTCGCTTCAGAAAGCCTTTCTTCAACTCTTTTTTAATGCCTTCATAATTTAGTATACATCATACTGGATAGTATTGAATTCGTCGAGTTTTTGTACGGCAGTATATTGTGTAATGATACGGCTGCGAACAATTTGGAGGTCTCACTGTACATACAGTACATTGTCTGTATTACGTCTGTTATTCCGTAATATACGGGCTCATAGGTTCTTGGCGGGTTCGTGGGTATCCATAGGGCACCCGAAAAAGCAATATGGTGAGGTCTAGCGAGCATCAAAAGTTGTGTAGAAAAGGGCCGGAAAGTACAGTTGGCCAGCATGGGGTGGGCTAAGTATGAGCTGAAATATCGGGTGCGGGCAGCGCAGTGAATGCGCTTATAAAGCAGTGGGTCTGTCGGACGAGAGCACTGGATGCCCGGAGAGAGTACTGGATGCCCGGAGAGAGCACTGGATGCCCGGAGAGAGCACTGGATGCCCGGAGAGAGCACTGGATGCCCGGAGAGAGCCAATCAAATATAGCGTGGGTCGCACGGACCCTTTCCCATTCCTCGATACCCCCGCTATTTTGCGCAGCCGGCTAATCGAAAGAATTGGCCTTGGGCCTTTGATGAGACCAGGCCTAGTCTATCGCGTGCAGCTATTTTATCTATATAGAAGTAGTGATCATCTAGTTCTAAAGTGCCTGTAAGTCCGGGTCTTAGTCATGAGTTATAAGCCATTTTGAGATCTGTACGGGGGCTGTTCCCGGCTCGCTGTCCCTTTTTTCCAATGCACAAAGAGTAGCGCCTCAAGACAGTGACCGTCAAAAGGCTTGCGCAGTAGCCAATCATTACTAGCAGGTCTTAGGAGCGTTTTCCTGCAAACTCCGCCTACTAGGGCGATCATGTGATGGCTATGCACGATAAGCAGCTGATTAGCTGGTTGGCTGGTCTCTCAAAGCTAGATTTAGCGCTCATTGTTTTAGCGGAGGGCGTAGGAGGCGCTTTGGGAAACACATTGCACGCTTCACAAGTCTACTAATGCCAGTAACTCAGAAGTTCTTGCTTTTGCTAATCAACAACGTGGGCAATGTGGGCTGCACGCTGTCAACTGCGGTAGTCATTTCTCGGAGCTCCATGCAACATCTGTGATCCATGCCTCAATGGTTCTGTCAAGGAACCGTGCCTACCTTGCATCTTGGGAAAGACACATGTTCAGCCATTTAGCATGGACATGATGATTCATCACAGTATAATTCACACTGATGTCAAACAGATACCGAAGTGAAGTAATACTGTACGCCAATGTTACTCGATATTAAAAATAACCATGTAGTGTCTTCATTCGCTCTTGTGGAAGCTTACGGGGTATGTGGGCCTGTAGGCGATGTAGATCATGTGACATTCAACGCTAAAGCAAGCAACCCCGCATCGCACGAACATCAAGACACTTATGTCCTCCTCGAATGATGATTGCTATGAAGAACATGCAGTATGAAGTGAGTGTATCTATCTATTCCTGATGTCCCACCTTTTAACTGTCGCAGGATGCTATCGAGCTTCTTAATTCAAGACGTACCAGGGCACAGCCGAGGCTGAACCAAATGAGAGGTTCGGACGATATGACCAAATGGTTGAAATTACTCGGTTATTCTGTATGGCGAGAATCGAGGTTGAGAAAAAGTGCAGCTGCTGACACCGCACCAGCAAACCCACCTAGAAACGTTGAACGTCATTCATGTAGCCGGCACCAATGGGAAAGGTAGCACCTGCGCATACATTTCGTCCATACTCCGGAGCCTCGGGTGCAAGGTCGGCCTCTATACTTCACCACATCTTCTAAGCATACGCGAGAGGATTCGCATCAATGGCAAGCCGATAGAGGAAGACGCCTTTGCGAGTGCTTTTTTCGAAATATGGGATAAATTGCCACGTGAGGCTAGTGCCGACATGGACATCCCCCGATACCTCCAGCTTTTGACCCTTCTCTCTTTCCATGTCTTTCTCAAGGAAAAGGTTCACGTTGCAGTCTATGAGCCACACATGGGTGGCGAGTTCGATGCGACGAATGTCGTATCATCACCCGTAGTGACAGCGGTGACTCGAATAGCTAAAGACCATGTCAGATACCTCGGTCCCGAAATTGAAGACATCGCTTGGCATAAAGCAGGCATCTTCAAGTCCCGCTGTCCGGCGATCTCATCGCCCCAAGAGGAAAATGTTGCTAGGTCTCTTCGGCAACGTGCAATCGAGAAAAATGTGCCGCTGTCATTTGTTGAGCCTGATTTATCACTGTCGTTTGTTGAGCCTGATTCATCACTCTCTGAATTTCAGAAGGAAAACTGCTCAGTTGCCATAGCAGTAGCCCAGGAATGGACATCACATAGGATGCCTGAAGAGTTGACGAACCTGGATAGATATATCAAGGATGGCATCCAGAAATTTGACTGGCCTGGCCGTTACCAGCAGATCGAAGTAGGCAATTACAGATGGTTGCTTGACGGTGCTCACAATGAATTAGGGCTGTCCACTGCGGTGTCATGGTTGGCCAAAATGAGCAAAGAGAAAAGGTAGGAATAACCACTGATGGATATCCTGTGGTAACATCGTGCTCACTCTGATAGTGCCAACAACTACTCCATGAGGATGGTCATCTTCAGCCATTTCTCAGATCGTGACGGCGTCGAACTCTTACGTGTTATCAATGAATCCCTCGTTGGGGAGAGTCTCGAAATAGATCACATGATACTGACTACATACAATGAAAGACAGGACGGGCAGACAAGGATCGGTATATATGTCCAAAACGTCTTGGGAAAAAGGTGGACAGTGTGCTGATTTTCTCCTAGACAGAAACCTCAAGTCCAGATCTTCAGTGGCAAAGTTAGAAGAGTACGCGCGCGCCTGGAGAGAATACGAACCTAGGACCATGGTATACTGTGAAGGGACAATTGAAGGTGCCCTGGAGAGAGCTCGTATGATTGGTCAGACTTCTAAATTGGCCCACGTTTTGATAACGGGAAGCTTGCATTTAGTGAGCGGTGCGTTGAGAATTCTTGAGACCAAAGGGAACTGAAGAGAGCTCCGTATTATGACTTGAAATACACTTCCAGGCACTGGAAGAAATCTCTTCGAAAAAATATGTTCCGTTCCCTGCCATGAAGTAGCCACGGGATACCTCTGAGAGGAGCTCATTGGCCAGCGCTCTCTTCACAACAGAGTGAAATAGGGTGATGAATGCAAAGTCAAACCCACGGGTTATGAATGTTGAATAACTCTCAACGAGCGCCGTTGCACGCTTGAGCCTTTCGTTAGCACCTGAGTACATGCATTCATACCAATCCACTCGTGCTAGGCTAATGAGCGTGCGAACATGGCCTAGTTGGTCAGTCACATCATGGTCCTTGATGCTCTCATAAACCTTGAGTGCCTCCTCCAAGGTGTATCTTGCAGCGTTAAGCTCTCTTAAATTGATGTGAGCCTCGGCTAATGGGAGCGCCAGACGCCTGAATGCTTTCAATTTCTGGCTGTTCTTTTGCCTCAGCTTTTCCACGTCACCTAGGAGCAGATCTTTCGCCAGCTCAGCACATCCCAACTCACAGTAGATATCAGCGAGGTGAAATTGAATGTGGCGGTAACTGGGGTCATCGTTATGAAGGCAACGCTCAAAACAATGTTGAGCATACAAGAACTTTCCTGTGTACCTGGCTATTCTCCCAAAGACAGTATTGAAGAGTCGGCTCAGTTTGACCTCCATCATTGAAGGAGGGTGACTTCTGCTCTCCCAGCGGTCCACGTATTGCCATGCGCGATCAAAGTCATTCCGCATTATCGCGTTTTCCGCCCGTGAAAACACTAAGCGGCCGTACGCACAATATAATCTTATGTCCGGGTCTGACTTTGGAGCCTCAGGAAGCTGGTGGAAGATTCCGTCTAGAACAGTATCCGACTTATCAATTTCCCCCTCCCACCGGAGAGAAACACTCTCTTGCCAGCTAAGCATCGCCGCCAGGTGCGGAGGTACAAATGGAACCTGCAATCTGCGAACTGTCGACACAATAGACTTTGCGTGAGCAGCATTTGCCAGCCTACAGGCCGATAAAGATGCCTCAATGAAGCTTGCCCTGACAATATACGGTAGATCCTGAAAATCTCCTTCCTTGAGGTATTCCCATAGTAAATTCATCACCGGCATTAAGAGCTTACCAGTGGCACGGAACCTAGCAGAGTGTTAATGTTATCAAGGTTCATGTTTAATGGATTGGCATTCGTACGAGTCTTCCAACTTCTCATCGCGGGGATAGATATATGCTGCGAATGCAAACAGAGCTACCCACAATTGTCGCGAGTAGTCGCAATGCTGCCAGCTCTCTAACCCACCGTTCAGTGTGTAGCATTGAGTGCCATCCTCGAGTGTGAACCTTCTGATCAGTCCACAGTTGAGACAACCTTCGATCTCCTGATCCAAGGTATTTTCATTAGCGAAAAGTTCGGCGAAATCCGTGATGTCTGTCCGAGAAGCGGTTGTCCGATTACCGTTACGGTCCCATCGGTGTTGAAGTAAAAGTCCCCGCCACAGGATGTCTTTGCGAATACAAATGCGGCTCATAGAATGCACTAAGGCCAGAAATTGTGTCCTTCTCGTGCTCCATGTGAGGCTGCCGACATTAATTGACTGGTGTGCACCTGGAATTGAATTAGCGTAAGTAACAGAATTGAAGAGTCTATGCGAATCTAACTAACCTCCATTCATTACGGTAGCATGCCAATTTTGGCCGCTACGGTGGGCAGAAGTCCCCTGCGGGTCTCCTGGAATCCGTGCACCTGCCTGAAGTTGCAGTATACCATCAGATGGCAATGGAGTACAAGCACAGTCATCAATTGATTCTCCGATCAATCTGTCCCAATACCTTGCCAGCTCAGGACAATACAAAGAACACTGGCCCTGACGTATATCATGGCCTATACGCTGGACGATTTTGGCGAGTTGATACATTGTAAGTCTTGTACTTTCGTATCGGCCGAATGTACCGAAAACGCAAATAATCAGCAGAGCATAAGCGGGACCAAAGCGCTGCTTAGTGAAAGTGACCATTTCTTTGTATTTGCAGTCTCCCCAGATCTTTCCCGCACGGATTGGTCCCGAAAACCCGCTACGAAGGAGATTGAGGAATTTGGCATCGCCCTCTAAAGTTTCAAGGTTCTTTTTGACCTGCGGGGCTACCAGCAGCGAAGAACCACTTGTTTTTATTCCTTTTGCTTTGTCTTCAATATACCGGGAGACTTTTTCCAGCTGGTCCCCTTCGTCGAGCTCGAGTGAATGTTGAAGAAACTTAGCCTCAAGCCTCAACAATTCTTTCTCCTGTACACCAAGTCCATAGTCGTCACACCAGTAAAATGAGCCTGATGTCAAATTGATCTGAACTCCGTAGGCAGTATCATGCGAAATAGACGGTAACATGGTATATGTTGACTGCAGTAGCAGGTGCAGGCAGCGCAGTGAGTTCGCACAGAGGGTAGTGGGTCGGACGAGAGCACTGGATGCACCGAGAGAGCACTTCGTGTCAGGAGAAAGCACTGGGTGCGCGGAGAGAGTCAGTTAAATACAGCCTCACCCGCACGGTCCTCCTCTTCTTGGGTATCGGCGAATGGGCGTGAAAAGGATGGGTTGTCCGGGGGAAGTGGAGAAATTTCCATTTTTGTCGAGGCATGGAGCGGTAAGATGCTGCATAAACAGGGGTTACACTGAGTGACCTGCTTTCTATTGTGTTTTGTAAAGTAATTTAGCATCCTTGGCATTACGGTTGTCGGGGGGTACCTGCCCCATGACATTCGTGCCTATTCGTCCAGAGAGGGTCACGAGCCCATTATATCTCAGCTTGCCCAGAAACACTTATCGTAATTTATTGCGTCAGCAGAGTTCTGAAGGTTTCTGCACTAGACACTGAAACGACAGATCCGAACGTACAGTATTAGGTCGCAACGTTCCCAAAGCTACGCGGTGAGTCTCCGAGTAACGCGGGGCGGCTACTACTGATCGAAATGTGCGCGTTATTCTTTCGCGCTTATGCGTGTGATAGGTCTTACTTGATCTTATGTGGCTTTCCACTGTGGATCGCAGCGGTAACATGGTCTCTTAGGTTTTTGCGTATGGTGTTATTTCCCTTTCAGGGGTCCGTGTTGCCCTGTGACCAACCGCCTGTTTCTAGCCTCCCCGCAGCGGTGCTTATGTCCTGCTTCGTGTACTTTTCGTCCGCGTCAATATGTGGCAATCTAGCATTCATCTAAAGAATTCGCGATCTGAGGCTAATATAGAAAACAATATTACATCCCTAACGGTACTCCAGGGCTTACATGGAGCTCTCAACTAGCAACCGCACAGTAAAAGTAGTAACAGGTCGAATTTGTGCCAGGGTCAAGCTACCACAAGATGGTCCAGTCCTCGCACCACCATTTCTTCAGGCCCGCAGCTTTGAGATGGCCACCAAGCTCCGAGGAACTGCGAGGACTCAGACTGCTTCGAAGTGTGCTTATTCTTAGTGATCAAGAATCCACGTCGGGTGAGTAGGAACGGAACGGGGAAACACCAAGTACTGCCAGACAATATTTTGCAGAAAATTTTAAAAAAAATTATGGACTCCATCTTGGTGTTTTCGAAAAAAAATATAACACAATGTTCCCACAAGGCGCAGGGGGGGGCGGGTTCGATGAAAGTAGGCTTCCAAAAGGCTTAATCTCGGTAGGGAGGCCCTTGCCCTCGAATGAATGGGATTCGGTAAGTAAGAAGCTTAGGGAGTGCCTTTTTAGCAACCTTGCCCACAATGACCTTCCCATTCTCGAATGCAAGGCAATCCAAAAGAGTACCAAGGATAACAGCATCTTGGACAAGGTTCATATCGCCTTTCAGCTTCCGATGGATTTCTGTTGGCATTCCATCGAACAGCTCGTGCCAAAAGGCCCTTTCCGCATCTTCAAATTCATCTGGTACACAAAACTCCCCGCCACTGTATTCGCCAGCATATGTGTGAATACGACCGAAGCCAATCCCGAAAGGAAGAGGCGTAGATAGCTCCCAGTCAATTAAGCCAGTAACATTGCAGTCCTCGTCGATGAGAACGTTCACTTCGTTAAGATCATAGTGAGCAACCCATAGTGGAAGCTCTTTGAACTGCTCTAACTTATCAACAAAACTTTGAAGTTGATGCTGATATGGTTTGATATCATCTTCCGACGATGCCAAGAGGGCCTCAAGGTGTAATCGGATACGGCCATCAACAGCCTCATCACTGTTACTCGCGAGGCAGCCCTTGGATAGGACGCGACCAAGAGATTTATTGATAGCGATTCGGCCCTGTGCCCCTTTACCGGAAATTCCTCGTAACCACATTTCGCCTGGCAAAAGATTAAAGGTATAGGCCCAAACTCCTTGCGCAAGAAGCTCTTCGTCTTCTAGAGCAGTAGCGTCAGGCACAATAGAGCCTAGGGCCTGTCTGGCGGTTTTGAAGGCATTAAGATCAAGTGGCTCGGTACGAAACTGATGCACTATCTCCCGTTTATCCTTTAGGATCAAAAAGAAGGTCCGACTGAACATTCCCTGCATAGGAGGTCTATCGACACGGTCCACGGCGCTACCCAGATGTTTGAGAATCAATTTCTTGACCCATTTGACCTGCTTTGTTGGAGTGTTGAGAAGCTTGGGTAGATCTTCATCGCAGGTAATCTCTGGCATGGTGTAGGATGGGTTGACGGAGTCAAGAAAACAGCGCAATTGATTTGGTAGCAATATCATGAGAAGAAGATAAATCTCGGTTTAGGACCTCAAAAGTTGGTAGGGCGGTGAAAGGCTAACCTGGCGGTCTGCAGCATGCCGGTCACCAACCAGGTTAACGGAATGAACAAATCATTACCGTTATCTTTCTTGACTTTGTCTCATAAGCAAAAAATACCTTACAGCACACTACACGTTTAAATAATCACCACTTTTGGCGCTACATGGATTGAAATGACAAAAATTTCCCCAACCAGGAAGTCGCATAAGAAAACTATACTACCTCCTACTCATCACAGCCGAAAAAATAAAAAATAATATGAACCTTCTGGGGGTGGACAGCGAGTCGACAGGGTGGATAGCGAGTCGACAGGGTGGATAGCGAGTCGACAGGGTGGATAGCGAGTCGACAGGGAACTGAAAAAAGAGGCTCATCTGTGCTCAGAGCATTCACTCTTTCACACGTGTACACCACCACATGGCGCTGGAGTAGCGTATTCGTTAAGCGAGTGGACCACGCAACGGAGTGGATCACCCAAAATACCATAGTACCACGCCTCTAGGAGCGGGGAAACAGGGCCAACCCAGAACTAGCCCTCTTTAGTACAAGAGAAATTCAAAAGTAAACAATACAGTCAAATTAATGTGGCTGGTTATCCATAAATTAATACGGGTGATACGTGATTATGCCGTGATTAGCTGTGAGATAGATGCACATAAATCACATTTGATTGATTGGTTGACTCCAAAGCTGAAACAGTGCGAACAGATCACTGGCACTCATCCCTTCTGCATAACCGTACATATAATCCCTGCCTGGCCAACATGAAGCCAATGCATCTCTTTGCAGTAGTGCCGCGTTAAAAATTTTACAGCATGAAAACAGTCATTTTAATGTGAAGTTTCTTAATCAAGCTAAATACCAATTCAGCATCCATACTGTATGGAATTCTTGGTTTTGACTACCACATGTGCTTTGTGTGCTACACATATCAACTGCACTGCATGAAGATAGTCGAGTTGCCAAACTCATCCTAGAGCTAGTGTAAAGCAAAATATTTTAGGTGAGGGGTTACATTGAAGGCAAGCCACGTCATAGAAATGGCTTATAGTCATGCGCTACGGAATATTTGGAATACTTAAATGTCCGCTTTGCTCATTTAATGGCTTTCTTTCAGCTCCCCCAATTCTCAAAGTCAACCCCTTTTTTCACATCTTACTATACTCCACTCAATATGCCGGAACCCATCATCTCCCTCAACAATACGGGTCTTCAGGAGATGCCTTTTCCTTCAACGGAATACAACAAGCTTCCTCATATTCACACTATGGCGGATGCAGCAGCCAACCACTCGAAGGCTCATGCTATTCTTCTTGGAATCATAGCGGCTCATAGGCTAAACAAAATCTTCACTCTCCATCTGGTCCATAAACATTTTGACATTCCGGAGGGACGCTGCGTGGTTTACGAGAACATCCAGAGAAAAGATCATGATGATTTCGTTCTATGCAGCCCCAGGCTTCCAGAAAACTGCTCGGATGTGCGTGGCCTTTACTTCAAGGTGACCGCCGAGGGAAATATGGTCGCCTACGAGTTCACGACAGAACCAGGTGCTGACCTTTCTGCGTACGAAGACTTCGTGGCTGAATTCTCTTCGACTGTGATCGAACTTGGAGTTCAGAACGTATTCGCTCTTACTGCTCTGTCGATCTGTCCAAAAAACAAGATATTAACAGAGTTTGAGTTATCTCAAGTCCTCTCCACAGTCTTGGTTTCTGATGCTTCGTGGCTGCCGGCCCAGGACAAGGCAAAATCTACATCTACAGATTGGGCTGCAACACAGGACTATGCAAAATATGCAGAGGGTCCAGTGCCTGGAATTATCCAACTGAAGTGTACGCAAACCAAAGCCGGCAACCATTACAATGTCACGTGCAGTACAACCAGATCGGGGAAACATTACGAGCAAAAAAAAAAAAAAGGGTGGCCCTTTTTTTGGCGGAGAGCCTGAATACTTATCCTTGGAAATTGGCGGCGAAGTTTTCCATGAAGGAAGCAGGCCACATGCCATTGTGTCTCATGCACTTTCCCTGGTTGATGCTATTTAACCTGTATATTCAAACCGAGAACTTGTTGTGAAACGTGATAACCGCGCAGGGCGAAGGAAAGCCTGGGGGTATTTGAGAAGTTAAGGACCAATCAACTTGCCTTAGTGGAACATATGCATATGATACTTTGATCAACCAGATGCCAGGCATTAAGTGACTGAACAAAAGAGAGCTTGGATCATTAGTAAAAAGCGCGGAACATATAAGTGACAGGAACTCAACGATTGTCTCCCATTGAATGAGCCACCGTGAATTATTGTATGTATCTGTTTACCATTTTATATAACAATCCCATTTCGACGTTCCTGCAAGAGTCAGTGAACGATTACCTCAATCGTTGACGCTCGATCTCACCTGTTGCTCACTGCGAGTTGCAATTGAGGAAATGAGAAGCAGATGAGGCCTGGAAACAAAGACTTGCAGAAACAACCTCATAACAGTGGTTCACTAGTTCACATGTGTAACTTTGATGCATTTACGTCAAATTTTAGAGTTCGTTGAAGTTGGAGGTGAAGTTATTGACTGCGATCTATCCAAAAGGTGGTAATGTAGATATGAGATCTTTCCGCTCTGAATATTGCCCCATAGCAACAGATGTTGAAGTAGTGACTATCGCTCACTCTTACAGACCACTACCCATGCTTTTCCCTGGCGACAGCGCTGAAACTGTTTGACCGGACTTATGTTCTTTAATCCCGTTCCGCATGATTATTCGAAGATAATAGTTACCTAACAATTCTACCGATCTCATATAACTACCATTCTTCCAGTCTTCTATACACCAAAAGCGCAAAGAAAATGTGGAGATATCTCAAAATTTTATTTTCTCGTTTTCAAAGGCTGAAGCGGCAGCTTTAACATCAAATCCAAGACTTATTTCCCAGCCGATCAGAATTTCTCCCAGATCCATCTGCCGCCTCTTCTGAATCGGAACGCACACGACGATCAGCCGCCCCGTCCCCAGAGGTGTCCGCCAACGACGATAGTATGTCACAAGAAGGAGACAACAGAGATCTCGATCGGTTTTCAATTCGCCACGAAAGGGCTCTCATGGCAGACTCAAAATAAACTGATCTTCAGTTCCAGAGCCCGCGAGAAGAGCAACGAGCTAGGCGACTCGGTTATGACAGAACGAGAGTCTTCGGGTGGCCAATTTCGTGCAAGACATGCGACAGTGGCGAGAGAAATTAAGTGATCATATGCCATGCACGAGTACCAAATCCCTTTATCAATGAACTTCATGCTCGTCACTGGAGGTATGTCATCGATACAGCCCAACTGCAGCGATTTGTTGTCTTGAGAAGATTGGAACGACTGATTGCCACGGCTCTGGCCAACCTCAGTGCATGCGGGGGATTACCGTTAGATTTGCCCCTTTGGATAGTCTCTTCCGGTTTTTGAGGCCTCATCGGGACACATAGCCACGCCAACGCTGTGGAACATACTGCTTGGCCATGGATGCACCAAAAAAGCGAACTATGAGTTTCCGATTGAACCATGAAGTTTTGGCTTGATCCAGGCGAGCATCCAACAAACGCAACATTCGGTTGGCCCACACTTTTGGTCGACGGCTATGGCGTCTGCACTCAAAACACAACAATTGCTTTGCAGCCAAAGATAACCTCTGCGCTGGTGGATATGCAAAAGGAGGCCCCTGGAACAGCTGAAAGCACAGTACTCCATCTATCTGGGACTCAATCGGCACGGTGTTTGGACAGTGATTTGCGTCATCTGCCACCCAGATGCACCGCTCACGGTGCAGCGGATCGCCCAAAACCTGGCCCAATACCAGTTGGAGATGAGCAGGGCTCCAGGCCATGACGAGAAGATTTTCTGGAAACGCGTTCGGGATGATGTGATATTCGAGGTATAGTCTTTCGGCCGAAGAAATGTAATTTTGAGTGGTACCTGTAATCATGTAGGAACAGAGTAATGTATAGATGTTTGAGAAAGCAGTAGTCAGGCAATTCATCTCGCTGGGTCCCCATTATATGCCCGAGCAATGAAGTCTAGACTTAGTTGGCCACCAAAAATTCCCGTCGCATTCCTAAAAAGAGGTTGTTGATTCATGGGAACTCTGGTCGCATTTAAAAGGATTATACATGAAGCATACGCAGCGTGTAGATAGATTATATGCGGAACACTTGATGCATCGAGAGCTCTCGGTTCCTTGAAGCGAATGAGAGCCCAACACGCACATCGAAGTTTCCATAGGCAACCCGCAACCTCGCCGACTATGCTACCCACAGCAGCAGCCGGCCATTCCACTGATGTATGTTCGTCGCAATAGAGCAACAGTGATCTGGAATGAGACATACCGTAGTACGTGATCGCTTCATATTTGCAAGTGCTAGATGATGATGTACGTAGACATGCTATTCGCAGTTTGTTTCATGTCTTCACTTGTGTATATATTTAATCAACCAACATTGTTGATTTGACTCTGGTAATATAGGGGCTGTTTAATCTTTGGGAACTCGTCTTTAGATCCTGGGGCCAACTCCTGTTTCCAGGAAACCGAGTTCTACCCCTGGGATCTCCACTATACGATCCTGATTGAATACGAACTGGTTTTGGGAACGGATTGGCTAGGTTTGGGAGCTGTCGCGCTCCTGGGACCCTCCTCCTGGATTCTAGAGTCAATATTCTGCCTTCTGAGGTCGCGGAAAGCCCTCACAAGACACCTTCACCAGACCTGCGCACAAACCTGCGTAATTCGATTACTCCCGGAAAGGCTTAGCCATAGTGTGAGGGTTTCACGTATACGTAGATGGGGACTGAGTTTCGTAGATGAATAATCAATATAAAGGAAAGCTATAGTCGACTCTAGATACAAGACGTAGCGCGAGGAAGCAAAAGAAAGGTAGCTTCCTCGCGTTCAGGGGAACCCATATAGACCATGTGGGTCCCGCGCAGATCATATCTCCATGCTTCATGTATATCTCTGACACTTCTAGAAGCGACGCATATGCTCCCAGGCAACGCACTAAAGCCCCTGGGAGCAAGAGAGCTCCTAGGGCCAAGATGTGCATTCCCAGGGCTGATAGAGCTTTCAACAGGGGCGTGACTGATTTTGTGAGGGTGGGAATGGAGAGTCTACAAGTTACGTACAATTTCCTGGGTCTATGTGATCCCTGGGCAGCTCACATTATTCTCTGGTCGGCTTTTGAAATCTTGACGGCCACCAAGGTTGATGCCACCAAGGTTAATGGATATTTACGCAGAGCAGGTCGTCAACCATCACCTACTTGCTACATCAAGCCACCCAGCATACTGCTCCAATATTGGCTACGATTAGTTAGCTAGTCAGATCAAGCGATGAACATGCTTTGGTTTCAATCAAGAAATTCAACTGGTAAATTATCTCACCAAATCTGCAGTAGAGTCCATTCCTTTACCGTTTTCATCGAACTTCTCTAATGCTTTTGGACTCCACCTCCCTCATTTTTCGAAATCATCATCAAATCCTGCGACTGCCTTTTTTTCGTAAATCCGGTTGACTCGTTCCTCGCCCCTACTTTAGGAGGTCGATAGAATCCTCTGTGCCTGTTTTATAGGTCCGTGTGCGCACTCTGCTAGTGTCCACGTAAGGCGCATATGGCAGAAGGCACGAGAGACATAATGATCGCTAAAACTCCGAAAGCCGCCTGGCCAACGGCTCCATAATACAGATCCTTGTAGTACGGAAAATGACCCTCACTGTCAAATAATTCAATTGATGTCTGAAAACCATGAACGTGGCTGGCAACATAACCCCCAAGGATAGAACGACCAAGCCGGCGACGAGCTGAGTGTAGACGTAGTAAAGTCGATACTTGCGGTCTTCTCGCAGGCATCTTGGGTGGATTGCAAGGGCGATCCCGAAGATGGAAAGCAGGGAATTGAATGACGGTAACTGGACGTACCCACTTCGGGTGGGACCTTACAGATATCTGTGTGATCATGGTCGAACTATCTGTCTTGTTCGCTGCTGCGAGCATTCAATCTGCAGGATCGCATCGATTCCAATTCCCTTTTGAGGCTCTTGACTTCTGTTCCGAGGGCGTCAATATGATCTTTGTCCTTCATACTTTGAGGGGAATTTCCTCCGTTGCGACGGCTTTGTCGTTCGTCTGGCTTAACTTTTCCGCGAAGTGACCTATTGTTTGTACGTATCAGCCCTACCGCCAACAAGCTGTCGCGTTTGAAGTGAGCCTTCATGGTTGCTAATTAACACACCTTTTTCGCCTGCTCGGCCTGCGTAATAAATTAGCGAGAGGACAGGGGTGCTGATGTTGGAGGGCAACGAAGAAAGAAACTGACCAGCTAGCTATGGACTTTTCCGCCGCGCGCGCGCCGGATGGCACGAATTCCTCCAACGGCACTCCTGAAGCTGGCTTGAATCGCACTCTTTTGAGTGGTCTATCCTCAGGTCTATCTCGGCGCGGCGAAGTACGCTCGCGGCTCTTCAGTATCGAGCGACGTATCTTCTGAGGCGACACTGTGGGCTCCACAGAGACTCTGGCTCTGTCGGAAGCCTCAATTGATGTTTTGAAGTCCGCAAGCAGGGTGTGCATGCGGCTCTCATTAGACGGCTTGTCCGATGGTGTCATTTGGAAGAGGTTGGAAAAGGAAAACGATTGGCAAGAGCGATATCGTTGAGTCAAGTTCGCAAGAAGCAGGAGATGGAGTAGGATTGGCTCAAGTTTGCGAGTAAAGCCTAGGCTGTATGCACAATAGGAAATTGAAATTGAAGCTCGCTAGCTTGCCATTGGGAAGATAGTAAATAGCGAGAGAAGAAGCTAGGTGTGGGAAGTGCCGAAAGGTCGAGTCGGTCACGAATATATGGAGCCTCCGACTGGCGTTACGGTGACATCGTGCTCTAGTTTTGGTCTGCAGCTATACCCACCATCAACACTCATCATCAACACTCACCATCAACACTCACCATCAACACTCACCATCAACACTCATCCCGTAAACTGTTTTTTTAATACCTGCTACTGTATGGCCAACAACCGGTATAATCGAATGTCACTGTCTGTCTGTCTCCAACCCATTGTTGCGGCATCTGTTCAAGCACTTCAATCCTCATGAAAGATACGGTGACCGTGACTAGTGACCGTGATTAAAACTGGCAGAGGGGTCTGCCACCGCGTTGAGCGAATTAAGTGAAAATTCAATGATATGTAGGAATCGGAATTTTGCGGCGTTACTTTCTGCTCAACAGGTGATGATAATGGTTTACCACGCTCAACGTAAAACTGGGAGAGGACTGGCTCCAGGTAGGAAGTTGACTCTGTAGGCCACAGGGTCTCGTAACACTATTCTCAACGTTGTTCGTATGTCTTCAACGCCAACAATGAGAAGTGATTCTCGCTATCAACTACGCAACTGGTTCTTTGGTGGAAACGTAGCCGAAAAATTATAAAAGGGGCCAGATTCCCAGCCCAAAAAAATCAGGACTTCGGTCCTCACACTCCGATGTGTCACGATGTCCCTCTCTTGCCTGCGGGCTTGAGCGTCTCCGTGGCCACGGCTGTCGCTGCCACGAGCCCAGCGATGTAAGAGGGTGCTTCGCAGGATAGGTCTGCGTCAACAACAATCCTCGCAGGAGACCGCTGCGTTAACAAGTTCTCTGCAGGAGACCGCTGCATTACCAAGTTCTCCGCAGACTATGTCCTGCGTCAACAAAGCGCCTCGCAGGGACATCTGCGACAAAAAGAGTCTCCGCAGGGACATCTGCGACAAAAAGCCCCTCTAGCTCGTGCAGGCACCTCTACGTGGTGCTAGGGACCAGTATTGGAGTATTCAAGAGTACTCGAAGAAGCCAAGACCTGCACACCATCTTGATGACGTATGATGTGTTTCGAATGATGATCATTGGAGAAATAAAGTGAGCCCTAGATAGAAGCAAACCGATTTCAAATTCGTAAATTCAAGATCCTTTGTTATAGAGTGCCACATTCCGAATTTTGCTGTCTTCATCCTTTGGATTGACTAGCATTCGCGTCGCAATGGAATTTATCTGCCACCGGAGCATAAAGCGAGCACAGGTGATTATTTCGGTGCATTGTGGATGTGTTGACTGGGCGTTCACGAGTGTTGGTGGTTGATGAGCGTTGATGGATGTTGTTGACCGTTGATGAATGTCGATGATGGTTGGTGGATGTTGATAAACGTTGGTGGTCTTGACAAACGCTGACGGTGTTGATAAACGCTGACGGTGTTGATAAACGTTGACGGTGTTGATAAACGATGATGGCGTTAATACTGGTAGGGATGAGCGTTGACAGTAGTATGAACGTGTGTTCGGTGGGAAATGGCCAGGCGGTGAAGTAGAGTGCACACCAAGTCTGTTTCTATGCAAACCACAATGGGTGGCATTCATACTGCTGACTAATGTCGTCTTTTGTGCATGTTCTGGCCCGGGTCTCGGCCCGACTTTTCCGTGCCCGAATCGGGGGTTCAACTGCTCTAGGAACCAAGACATGATATTTAACGACAACGAGTGGGTAATGAAAGTCATGGACAATATTGGATATACTATAGAGATGACTGCATGGGATATTCTTAGAAAAACCATGGTATGATTAGGAATTTGTACTATTCTGGCACTTAGAGGCTTTGTGAGCGTCAGCACGTAAGTATATATACTTCATAGACACGGAAATATGTGTATCCTCTTGTTCAAGCATGACACTTTCACCAATGGAGACTCCTCATCCGTAGGCCCACAGGATTCAATTTCATGCTAGAAGCTAGCTAATTTCTCGCAATGAGTGAAGCTGTAATCAGGCAAACGCCCACGATCACACATTTTAGGCATCAAAGAAGCCTCTGATGAGGAGCGCTCGAAATAGGTTTTGCTGCTCGAATAACCATGGTCATGTGATGGACTGTTCCTCGCGCATTCAAATTTGCCGCTTCAGCTGGCTTGCAAGTCACTCACTCCTACTATGCCGTAGAATGCCTACAATCACAACGTGGATTCGCAACAAACACAACCAAGTAATCGAGGGCCCTGACTCAAAGCCATTCAGTCGGCTCCTTTGACAAATGCTAACCGTCGCACGTTTGTACGTAGTTGCCCCTAGTAACATCAGTGTATCGTGCGAGCCAATCACCCATGCAACAACCACACCGCACTGGAATTGGCGACCAATCCTTTTGGGTGTAGTACCCCAAACCACGCGATCGAGCATACACTACTTTAAAGAAAATATGTATCAGCCCAATTGAGTCTAGCAAGCGCCATCTTGACTAGGTCTGGTAAAGATGACTCCACCGACTGATCCACTTGGCTTGGAGCCGCAGCAGACATGTCTCTCTTCCTCCCGAAAGCAACCGGTGAATGCTCATTGAGGGTATAAAATTTCAGCAAAGGCTGTCATGGATAGTCCGAGGTCGCGCAGAGGATAGCTCTTGGCGGGCTTGTGACGGACTGTGCTTGAACAGTGATATACCAACCACAAACGCGGTGTATCTGACAAATAATCAATGCTCAAGGACAGTCAAAGTAGAAGACCCAGAGAACTGGGTCAGCTCCTGGAAAAGGCTGCTTGCGTGCTACGTGTTAGAAAACGATATGAGCGAGAAAATGATATCTCTAGACCTGACTGACCTGTATCTGCAAAGTTGTCCAGGGTAATGGGTTTTGTGCATGTGGCTCGGGATTTGGAAGAAAACAGCGTACGAAAGCATCAAATATACCATGATTTGTGCAAAGACACCACAAAATTTGACACGCGCTCGATGGGGCGTCATATATAACCGATTAGTCCTTTCCCACTCGCTTTGGCTGAGCAATGCGGTGTTGGATCAGACAGGTCAGCAACGGTCGGTCATCGCTGGCTCGTGGCCCTTGGCCCTTAAATTAAATCGGCCGTGACTCGACCGTGGCTCGGGACCGGATGGTCTCCTTTCTCGATTCATAGCTGATGACAATGTTAATCCGTAGGCTCGAAATGACGGCACATATGCCTCACCTTGTCTTTGCACACAGACTTGGCGAACGACCTGGCTGTCTGTGAAGATATGGCTCAACTGCCATCAAGAAAGACATAAACACCAGTTCCCCGGGTCTTTTGGAGCATCAGGATTGGAAAAAAAGGGAGATACGAAGAGGTTCACCCGTTCCACGCCAGTAATTCAATCCACAAAGGGGCTTTTTCCCCTGCATTTATATGCTGACATACATCAGCACAAGTCCTACTGCACAAAGTCGACTGAGAGAAGGGCCAAGGTACACGATCTGTTCCTAACAGCGACTCATCATCGATGCGGCGAGTAGGGTAATGGGACGGATAGATAGCATGCGTTCGAATCGGTATAGGGAGCTCGAGCAAACATGGCTTTCGCTTGCTTCGCATCTGACTCGAGTGATGAGAACACAAGTGGCGTCCTAATGTAGAATCCCAGTCAGCAAGACTTACACTTGGACGAGTTTTTGAGGTTTACCATTCAGACTTCGCAGAGGGCACTATGTGTACGCTTGATATGAGACAATCAGTACTGTAAACTTCACGATCTTATGAGCTCGCCAACAGATCACTTACAGTATTCATGCTATGTTGTTTCTGGTCCGTCGCATTCTCCGGCTGTCATCCCAAAAGAGGCGGGTTGCGGCGCAACGCGCATTCTCTTAGGCAGCATAGGGATTCATGGACTCACCAGGATGGCAAGTATATAGTCGCAATGGATATCCGGAAGGCCAGAAACTCCGCTCTTCATGGATTGAAGGCGGTGAGACCGAAAACCCGATGGAGCACGCGTCGTAATGACCCCTGGTCTTGTCTCTGATGCATCGATAAGGACTACCCACAAGGCTGTTTGACGGGTGAAAATGGGCTCCTACATTGAAACATAAAGAACAGCAAGGACGCTCATTTTTGAGAGCACAAAAGCCCGCACAGAAACTGACATAGCCTAGCGCAAGCGATGGTCACTCACATTGTCAGAGACAATGAACGCCTCAAGCTTTCATGCAGCGAGCCTTGCAATCTAGTATGTGCACCTGTTATTGGCGGGCTCCTCCTTTGCCTAGCGCATGCTAGATAATTTGGAGCGACGAGGTTGGGACCAGTAAGAAGGCCGTGGCTTGTACTGGGCACTCAAAGGGTGCTATACCGTCGGGTCATCTGATGAGATGTCAATGGTTCACTGTCATTCATAAGCGTGTAGACCGGAGGGATATTTCATCACTCACATGTTTGGAGGTAAGCACCATGGTCGAAAGGACGGCAAACAGCTGTGTTCTCTGTGCTTGAGCATTTGCTCTAATGTACTATATTCTAATTCAATCGCATCGTCTTCAGGATCAGTGAGACAGGCCAGATTAGAATTCACATACCTGCGAAGCTTTGCGGTTGAGGTTTTGCGGGGCCACAAGGCCATGGTTTCTTTCTGACAGAGGTCTTTGGGCTAGTCTCCTGCACCAGACTTTTGCATGTCAAAGCCCTCTTGTCAGAAATTTTGGCCCAGTTGGCTGGTGAAGGGGGAGCGACGATTTAATCGGCAGCTGGCCGCGGAGAGTTGAGTCAGCAGTGTCCTGGGGTCCAGGTTGGGAACCAAAGCATCTTTTGCGGTGAACAAGTTGAAAGGAACGCGAGAG